AATATACACAGATTTAGGAATAGAACCAGGATTAGAGGCCTCAGGCAGTAGGAATTGGAGATGTCATACAGTATTAATTCATGGGAGAAGCCACTAATTCACATGCCACAAACCCCAAAAGGAAAAAGATTGGCTAGGACAAAGACGCTAACTTATCTTTTTGATAAACAATTTAAAAATGCTATATATGGATTCTACAAAAGAAAAGTAATTTACCAGGTAGGAAAAAAAGAAGCAAATGCTAATTAAAGTGTCAGGAACCTGCTATCCAGAACACAGCTCTTACATTAGTTCAACAATTGAAAAATGAATGGGGGAACGTTCAATGCTTAATTAAAAGAATTTGGGGATTGTGAAAGTTTGGGCAAAATTAATTCCTATGACAGTGTTTTCTACACCCCCTCTTTACAGAAGTAGCAAAAAGACAAGGTATAACGAATCCTAAAGGACCTTAAGCACACAGACAAGGAAGCTTTGTTTCTCTGGGTCCTGAGAATTCGTATTGAAAAACCCTAACCTTCCTCCCCCACCTTTGCTCATAGCAACTTTTCCAAAGGAAACACTTGCAGTTCGTTTCTCTGTGATATCTCTACCTCACTCTTGGGAAGGATAAAATAATGGGGAGGGGCCAGATACCTGATATCAATACTCAGAGCAGGTTTTATGCTGGGGAGAAGGCAGTATCCCCTTATAAAACTCTGTCAAATCTCAAAAAATCTGTTTTGTATACTGGACTTTCCAGACATCAACTTTCTAATCTGTGAACATCAATGACACAGGATGCTTAAAACACTGAAAAATTCAGAGGAAGAATTAACTAATTAATCCACTCTCCTTCTGAACAATTTAGAGATCCTAGACAGAGACCCAGACCCATTTTATGAAATCCAACAGAAAGAGTGGCCGTGAGACTGCTAAATTTAAATGCCACCAGCACACACACCCTTCTGAGAATTCCAGCACTGCTAACTTTTTATACTCTCAACGTTTTAAATACAATAAAAGGCCATCTTACTCATCATAATTGGTCGTATTTGAACTTACAGCTTATTCAACATGCATATCAAACATACTAACTTCTTGTGTTGTGCTACCCATGTTCTAACGTGGAATGAAGTACAAAGCCCTATGTGCTGTGCTGTCTACTGAACTCTCGTTTTTAATTAACAAATTTACCATAATAAATATAAAATATACCCTTTTCTAAATATAAGCTTCCAAATACCTTCAGCAACAGAAGTTTCCCAGAGTTTTAAAAAGTAAACAGCCTCTCAGGAGAACAGCAGAATCAGGAAACACTCCTTTTGACATGTTATCATATGAGCTAGTTCCTCTCATTTGTCAGTGGTACAAAAGGCACTTTGCAAAAACAGTTTACTACACTAAAAAGAAATATTGGCAAAATAATTAATTTCTACCTGTCTTGCATTTTAGCAGCTGGAAACAAGCCAAAACTAGAAGCATGTAACCAACCAAATCTCCACAGATTACCAGCAAAACCTACACGTTTTAAGAAATATTCTGATTTATCAAGCCTGTTCTTTATTTCTAAACATAACAGATGTAAAAGAAAGAAGGAAAGATACACAAAGCTGAACAGTGGGTTAATAAGCCTGTGATTAACTAGGCAACTTAAAAGTGAATCCATGGGAGAAGAGCGTTATGTCATCCTAAATACTTTGATCTAAATAGTCAATTCTTTTTAACATTAAGTATTCTATTTACACCACTTCACAGATATGACTTAAGGCATTTTATTCAGCTTTAGTGGCTCTCCAGTTTGCATTGAAATGAATGAGAAACGTTTATTTTCTACAGGTACGTGAACCTACAGCTTTTACGCAGGATATTTTCTTACAAGATTCCACAGAGGTGACCACTACACTGTATCAGCTGATGCCAAAATAATAAGATATCTTCCAGTTGTGAGGCTCAATGTCAAATACAATACAAATTCAAGAGGCAAACTGTTCCCCAGGTAGTAAAAAGCTGTAGATAGCTTTAACAAGTGACTAATTCAAGCATCTATCCTCAATTTGGTGTGAAACTCACCTCTGAAATCCAATCAACAGATTTTGCATTTACTGTAGTTGTGACTGAAGTCAGTGGCCTTAAAATGTTTTCACCTCTCAGAAGTTGTTAAGGTTTAAGCAAAAATGTCTGTTTAAGCAAAATCTTTACAATGTAATAACTAACCCAAATCTGTTACCCTCTGAAACATACACACAAGTACTTTGAAAGAGCTGCCTACCAGCAAGAAATTCACGCCCCTGAGGCAGAAGTACCACATCAGACATAGCAGTTCTAAAGAAAATTCAGACCTAGACATGCCCAAAACAAAAAACAAGACAGTCCTATCCTTCAACTGGGAAGACTCACAGTCCTGAATTTGGCCATGGGAGGTGTCAGAGGACTAACTTTACAGAAGGAGCTGAATCATGAACTTAAAGTGTAGATGAAGAAGGAAGATCAGACCCTTGTGATGACATATCCTGAGTATTCATGTAAATCAGACACTGAACTTGTATTCCTAGCTTAGCCATCAGTTATTTTTTTAAATAAATTCCACTTGTGTTGCAGACCTAGTAGCATTTAGCAATATATTCCTCATTTTTGTTTTAAATCAACACGTTTGAACAATTAATGAGAAAGCGGCATCCTGTTTCCATAGAGGATGCAATTTTGAACATCCTTCAGTATAGAATTAGATCAACTTTAACTGCTTTTAAAAACTATCCTCCATTTCTTAGACTTATGTACACTACAAAAGACTTCTGTAACACACAAAACAGTCATCTTAGCCAATGTTTTTTCTCTTTTATGTACCATAAAAGATAACTGTTGTGATTTTCTATACTGTCTCTAAAATAAAGAAAAAAAGATGGGAAAAGCATTGCACTTGAAGTATATCAAGTCATACATACACAGTACCACAGAATGGCCTTTGTGAGATGAAAGGGTTAATCACTGCTTTTAATTATAGCCAAGTAACTTTAAGGTGAGTGAATACTGCAGCAACATCTATAAACACAAGGCCCACGTTAGCAGAATACCAGTTATGAAACCTGTGCCAACACTGCTTGTACAGACTTTTTTTTTTGTTTTAATCAAGATATAAAAACCTTATCAAGTTCTGCTCTTTGGGATATTTGCAGAGCCCTGCAAAAAAATCTGTAAGACTAGGCAGCTTTAAAGAATGTAACGTGCAGTAGTAACCATGACGATAAGAAAAATGCTTTTGCTAATCTTTTTTCTTTCAGATGACAATACTTCCAAATACTGGTGGTCTTCCACCATATTACAACTTTTGTTTGTTGCTCCCTGTGAATCTAGGCCTTCAAATCTTGTAAACCTGAAACTTCTGACAAAGTGAACAGCAATTTGGGGTGCACTAGTAGCACAGAATGAGTCCTGACCAGTCCACCAGCATCTTAAGTTGACTGGTAGGATGGATGTCACTTGTTGGCAACTGTGTCTTACTTCATCATTGCACAGAATCTTTAGAAAAAAAATGGCTACATTTTTAAGATTATTACTCTGCAAGTAAATGGGGAATCTAAAAAATAACAGAAAGGCAGAGTGTACATAGGATAATTATATGCACATCATGAAACTTCTGAGGTAGCTTAGAATGTGGCCCACACAGGCTGACCATAAACTTTAACAAAACTTCTTTGCATTGATTTTGTCTTATTTTTGTATTAATTTGGGGTTTTTAAGCAATAAAAAATAAAGAAAGATTCTTCTTTGTTCTATACTATTTCTCCAACAGACTTTCTCACCAAATTAGGATAATGCTTTCAAAAGATGTATGTGATTTGGATCTGAAGTCACATTTTGAAAAGTGACTAAAGGGCTGATTTTCAAAGGCATTAAGATACCTAAGGATGCATTAAGCACTTAGAATTTTTAAAACTGCCTGGGCATCTAACGCCTATTTAAATCACTTAGTCCTTTCTGAAAATCCCAATGGGCAGTTATCTACATTTTATGTGTCTACATGCCTTTGAAAATCTGTACCATTAAATACTTAGGCTGTTAAGTCCCCCCAGCTTTTAATGAGACTTAGGGTCCTAAAAAGTGTAAGTACTTCTGAAAATTGGTCAAGCCACTCTCTCTGGTCTTTTCTTCTTTCTTTTAAAGAGCCATCTACTAATGCTTATCCATAGCATGTCAGTTAACTACAGCTTCAACACTGCCAAACTTACATGTTATACTGTGAACAATTTTTTTATGTAACTAAAATAAAGATCCAAAATACAGACTACATCCTCATTAAGACTTTCTGAGACTCCAAAAAAGAAAATTAATTCCAACCTGTAACCCCTGTGAATGCCCAAAAATCACTGTTTCAATAAATACGATCCAAAATCAGTGTAATTTAGGCTGATAAAAAACAAACAGCATAATTACCAAGCAACATATTCAAATTACCACAAACAAGTTCTGAAAGACAGCCACACAGTAACAAAAAATGTTCTGAGAAAAGCTAGAAAAAGGAGGAAGTTGTGAATAGTCTCTTTAAACAGGGAGCAGTTCCAGAAGACAAGCCTTAATTCTGAAATTTCGTTTTTTAAACAAGAATGTACAAAACTATAAAGTGTTCCCTTATGCAAACATTTGAAAGATTTCTCTTCTGATCTTCTTTAATGTCAATGGGAGGTAACTTGCACTGACCACATTCCCAAAAAGGAACCGATTTGTAAATTAGGAACGCAGGGAATCAGATTGCCACCTACAGGAAAATTTAGCATTTATTGTCAAGAATGATTCAAAAAGAATACAAATTGCCATCCTGCCAAGCACTCTTTCAGTTTTAGTTATTATTCCAAAACCAATTAGTATTTTCTTTTGTGCAACTGTATCATAAACTTCCTAAATCCAGAAAGCCATTAACAGTTCTTTTTATTCAAGACAGTATTGCTTGAAAGTTCCATAATTCAGCTACAAAGCAGCAGATTGTAATCATGCTTCAGTTAAAGAATTTAAAGTCTGCTTACCTGATACAATTGGTGCTAGCCTGAATATGTCTGATAGTCTGCTGTTAACTGGCTCATAAGGGGAATCTTCAAGCAAGTCATTTCCTAAAGACAAAAAATATTTGGATGTTTTTCTTATATGAGAATTCAGGATAAGATTTTGTTGTTTAATTTTACTCTGAAATGAAGTTACTCTGTAACAGCAAAAGGTACTCCCCTTTAATCTGTTTATTTGTTCTCAAAGAATTATCTATAAAAAACACCTGAAAGAAGCTAGTTGGTTATCTCTGTCACTAGTTCATTTCTCTCCTTCCTCCATGGATAAGGTCATAATTTTCAGAGACAGCCTGTGACATCACAGGGACTGTCCCATCTCATGCCAGCAGGAGAGATGCTGTAGCAAGGATGTTCCTCTTCATTCACCCTAACAGCAAAGCTCCTTTTTAGAGGAGCAGCCCAGGTAACAGTTAAAAACTAGCATCTTTGGAATAAAACATTCCTAACAAGACGGTATTGGAAGGGAAACTTTTTATGATGCAGAAAATGTCCAAGAGTAGTGTAATTTATTATGAAAGTTAGAACAAAAATATGTATTGACGCATTATAATGTTTCAGTTGATGCCTAGATAAATGAAACGAAAGGGATGACTTCCCTTTTTGCAGAAAGAGCTATAGAAAAGAGTTAAATGAGGACCACACTGAAGTGAAAGACTGCATCTTCAACTTCAGAGACAGAGCAAAACGGGGCTAAAAATTATGTATCTCATAAGGACCTGACTGTTCTCAACAGACTACAGGAAATCTGCCAGTGACATCAAGAACAGAAGTCCTGAGTCAACTGCTCTCACATCCCTTCTAACTGGCATTTCTACAAGCTCTAGGAATCACTAGTGCCTCAACACGCCCAGGGAGTATTGCTAGGAAATACAGGAAAGAATAAACTTTTCCTTAAAACAATGCTCCTCTTCATAGTACATTTAACTTGCATCAAAGAGCTAAGAAACTAGTTTCAGTGTCTTGTGATCTTGTTAGGTGAGTCCTAATTAAGGAGTTTAAATATTATCAGGAAAATGTCTCCAAATGATTGTTTTTGTAGCTCTTGCACTTGCTAGTGCCCTTATCTTTTGACTCTGGTTTAGAAAGGTCAGCTGGGTCCCCTGGAGGAAACCCTCATTGTGGATTTCTCAACAACAGGAGACGGAGCAGCAGCTGTTCTCGAGCCGGATGAAAGGTCCTCAGTTTGCAGCTGAAGAGCACACTGTGAATTACGGGGTCAGACCCTCGGTTTAGCCTCAGTGGCAGGAGCTAGCTGCGGATGTGAGTGGCTGCAAAAATCACACACTGCATTTGGGGAGTGTAACGTTTCTGTGCGTTGCAACGTACCCTGTAAGCTCTGGTACATGCTCCAGTAAATGCGCAGGCAGTTTTTCTCCTTCTTCATGCCCCTCTTACAGCGGCAGTTGTACAGAGATTTCTGCTTGAGAGCTTCCATGGCGCTTTTGCATTCGTCCTTTGCCTCCAGGCCTGTCGCCCGGCTGAAGTTGCTCTCTTTGCCGGCTACACACTGCCTCAGTGTCCTGTATTTAGTACTACAGCTCTGCTCCTTGAGACACTGATCGCTGGCTTTCACGCAGTCGAGGCGGTCCCCTCCAGGCAGCCCGCTCACTTCTGCAGACAAAAGTACATCTAGAGAGAGGAGACACAAACCAACAAACTCTCACTGAGGGACGAGGCAGATTTAACCGGGGCTCCAAAGCGGGTGTCTGGGAAGCACACGAGACCTCCTCACGCAGCACAGGCAGCCAACCCCACGGGCAGCACCTTGCAAACCTCCAGGCTTCATGCTACACCTTAAGAAAAAGCACACGGGGTTTTTGTGGTCTTAGATCCACTTCTGTGGGAGTCCAAGGAAACAGTATGTTTGAACCCTGATAGTTGATTTATGAGAGAACACCAAAAGGAAAGAAAACCCACAGGGGTTAATGTGCCTGAAAAAACAAGTATTCATTATTCCTTAGATCCACTTTGGTGAAACAAATAACCCTTCCATTCGAGCGTTAAACTGAGGGGTTAAATATTCGGCCTTACTTTCCACAAGAGCTTTGCTGTAATTTCAATTACATCCACAAACAACCAGCTCAGGGAGATAAGTATCCTCACTGATTGATATTTGCCTCTTTTTGCGTCAGTCACTTTTTAAAGGCTGTATACATTTTTGCTTATTCTACACGTATAAAGGTAGAATTTATGACTCCCTCCCTCCATTTCTCTCCACGTATGATGTTTTTGCAGGAGAACAAAGCAAATTACATTAACTCTCTCCTCTCCATCGTGCCCCCTGTCATGCTCCCTCAGACACACACAGATGGAAACGCAAACATCTCCTGTGGAAAGGAAACCAGTTCGGGCTGCAAAGCGCTCGCAGTCGGGCAGGCTGCCAGGTTCAGGTGAAGATGTAATCCTTCAGCTGGCTCTTGTCACACATCA